ACCCCACCCAATCAAAGGAACTCTGGGAAGAAGGTTGTGATCCCTGGAAATCCCCCCAAACCGCACCATGGGCATGGGGAACAGATGAGACCTGCTGATGAGGAGGAATTTTCCTGAAGTGATTGCTGACTTTGAAGCATATCTGTTAAGACTAATCTCCTCTCCTCCGCTGATGAGGCTGGCTGCTTGTGGAGGCTACTCTGCACTCCCTCACACATGCATTCACAGCCAGAAGCAACATTCCCTTCTCCCCCCCCAAAGAAACACAGCCTGGTTGGAAGAGAAGTCTGGAATTTCTTGCAGGGAAACTTTCTTCTCTCTGCAGCAAGTGAACAGCTGCCCCTTCTTTCTGCTGTCCTTTTTCCCTGGGGAGGGCAAGGTGCGTTTTCATTCATTACTAGCTGGCTTATCTTCAGGCACTTTCATTTGGGGCTCAGATTGGGGACTTAAAGAATGTTAGGGTGCCCTGCCTCTTTCTTCCTGTATCTCCTTTGTCTGAAGGGGTTGGAGGCTTCTTGTGGCCTATTCTGTGCATCACTATACACACACACCTCTTAGTTACGCGATACATACCAAGAGCAAGTCAGGCCTTAGGAGTTCATCTGCAAACCTGGGACAGTGTGAGCAAGGAGGTGCCTGGTGAAAGTTGATCAAATTGCTTTGGTGCTGTACTTGAAAGTTTAAGCCCTGACACTTGAATTTTCTTTGCTTTCTATCATTGGCTGCAGCTGTGCAGATTCACAGTCAGTTTTCTGTAGCTGCCCCAGGGAGTGTGATGATGTATGAAAGATGTAGAGATCCAAGCAGCTGGTTTACTGCTACAGACATTTTCAAAGCCTTTAACCCATTGACTGTGGTTTATGGGTAAAAAGGACATGCTCAATTTTGTAGATCACCCTTTGAGCAAGGGCCCTGTTGCCTGCTGGGAGACTCATCAGAGACTATGCTGCAAAGTCACTTTTCCCAGTTATTCCAGACCTTCTCCCCAATTTAATTTCCAGAGCCTGTTGTAGATCCCTGGATTCCATTTGAGTTTGTTCTGACTGGGACATTTGTGTTGTATCTGTAACATTGGCACTGAAATAAAGACCATGCGGTTTAAAGAGACCTTTTCCCATTTTGTTACTTAATTGATCCTTATAGTTTGCTCCTTGCTCCCCTTTCAGATAAATCTGTAATAGTTCAGGCTCATCCTCAGACTGAAAGGAACTGAAGTGTGTTTTTTGTTTGTTTGTTTGTTTGTTTTTTTAAATAAAGGCCAGTTGTTTTGAGTATGTGGGTCCAAAAATGTGAAGTCTAATACTCTTCTAAGCGTAGGGAACAGCCGTGTTGAGTCATGCTTCCTAGTACGAACTGTTGTTCAGGTAGCAATGTTTCATGGAGATGATATATAGGGCATAAGGCACAGTGTGAGAGGACTATTCAGGTGTTCAGCACCCTTCAGGGAGCGAGAGGGAAGGGCGTATCTCGGATGTTCATCTGTGAGCGTGCTGGTACTGCAGCTTCCAACCCCAATGCTGGGGGTTGCATCTTCTTTATTTCTGTTACAGGGCTTTCCAGACGGTAATCCTTCAGTGGTGTGACAGCAAGCTTAGGCCCTGGCCTTTATGTGGCTGCAAAAGTGCTAACACTGGGCTCTAGTCCTTGCCAGAAATATTGCAGGAGTGGAGCACAGTGTGTTTAGGGAGAATTAAAGGACCAATTCTGCCCTTGAATCTGAAGCAGGAGGCCATTTTAGTTTTTCAAATTGCTTTAGTTTTAACTGCATTAAGCAATATGGCATTGGACTAACTGCATCACTGACTTCAGCGTTCATCCGTGTGGTGGAATGAGTTCTTGTTGGAGGATGTTTTTGCTGCCTTACTGAGAAAACCAGTTAGGGCCTTTGAACTGGGGAAGAGGTATTTTATTCTATTGGAACTGGCATCAGCAAGGGGCTATAAAATCTAGCAAGAAAGACATGATTGCCTTAGAACAGAACTGGTGCTGGGTTGTGACAGGATCTTGGCTTGGTATCTGTGGTTAGGTGCTCTGCTTCAGCTAGAAGCACAGTGAAACAGGCAGTCATGTACAAAATGACCAAATCGGAGTCCATTCTTGGGTGCTGAGCATCCACTCTTGTTATTTCAACTGCAGTTGTGTTTATTCATCACCCCACTAGCTCAAACTCCTTAGCATCACAAACTGAGCATGTGGAATCTAGACTAATGAGCTCTGAGGGTGTCCCAGATATGATACTGAGCTAATGGAAAGTCTGTGCCTTAGTTCCTGAAAGCCCCATGAGCTCCCTCATTCTCCTCAGAGATTTGCATGTGGTCACTTGTACTGAAGACTGTACTCAGTCTCTGTTCCTTTTTGTCAAGAGCATCACTGCTACAGTAGGATTAGATGAGGGGGAAAAAGAAGTAAATGGTCTCTCTCCTGGCCAACTTGTTGCAGCATAGTTGGGAGCAGAGTATCTTGTCCCTCTTGTTGCACTTGTTTTCTGTCTGCTAGAGCAGGTGAATTTTGTAGTTGGTCTGGTAAGCTTTTTGCGGATAAGTTCCTCTTCTGTTCTTGGCTTCTCCAACCACCTTTGTGCAGAAGTGTGTGTTGTGAGGTTATTCTGCCTGTCATATTTCTGAGTCAGGCTAAAGGAGATGGTGCATGTACCTGAAGGGTATTCTGCTTGAAGCCGTCCCTTGGCTTTGAAGTACT